CATGTTGCCCTTTTGTTGCCCACCCCCACCCCCGTGGGCAGCCACCTCCAGGGAGGACGTGGCTGATGCAACAGGCTCAGCTCCCGGGGCCCCCGTCCGCTCTGGGCTGTCAGCCGGCACCTCCTCAGCATCTTGTTGGCGCTTTCTATTTATTTGTTTGTTTGTATGTTGACTTCAGGGAGGAAGGGAGAGGGAATCCTGGGTCGGCTACCTCCTGCACGCCCCCCCACCCCCCAACTGGGGATCAAGCCCACAACCCGGCATGTGTCCTTGACCGAAATCGAACACGGGACCCTCAGCCTGCAGGCCGACGCTCTATCCACTGGGCCACACCAGCCAGGGCTCTTGTTAAGCGCTTCGGTGCTTCCGGGTGTCCACCCGTGAGCTTTGGCTGTCTGTGGAGGGAGGGCTCCCGTCAGCCGGCACAGGCCTCCGTGTGCCTCGCGGCTCCGTCTGCGCGCTGCTGTGGGGCCAGAGCTGCGTGTCGGGTGTTGGGTCCCAGCCTGGATGAGGGGATGATGGCTGTTTGCAGCTAGTCACACTCTCTTTAGGGTGGGAGTCCCCACTGGGGTGCCTGGCCAGTCTGGGTGAGGGGCTGAGGGCCGTTACAGGATGGGCTGATGCCTATCGATGCCCGCGTCTCCGGCCACAGGGCAGTGCTTCCGATGCCTGTGCCGTGGGCTCTGCTGTGAGCTCCCGCCCCGCCCCCAGCTCCGCCAGGCGCCTGGGATCCCCTCCCGCAGGTCCCTCGGCCTTTCCCGCCCTCACCGCCGCCAGTGCCCGGTCTCTGAGGAAGGGACAGGCTGACCGTCGCGTGGCCTCGGCATCATGCAAGGAAAGGCCGTTTCAGGAGGGTCCTTTCATTGAGGAGAGGGGTCCCTGCAATGTTGACCCGTCTGTGTATATAAGGTGTACTCCTTTCTCTTTTATTTTCTTTTTAAGTTTTAAAAAATACATTTTTATTGATTGCAGAGAGGAAGGGAGAGGGAGAGGGAGAGGGAGAGAGAAACATCAGTAATGAGAGAGAATCATGGATCGGCTGCCTCCCACACGCCCCCCACAGGGGATCGAGCCCCCAACCCGGGCATGTGCTCTGACTGGGATCGAACCCGGGACCCTTCAGCCCACAGGCTCACGCTCTGTCCACTGAGCCATGCTGGCAAGGGCCACGTGGCTAATATTTTGTTGAGGATTTGCCCTCTGCTCATGAGAGAGATTGGTCTGTCGTGTTCGTTGCTTTAGTTCTTCTCCAGGAACATGGGGATGCCTGTGTCCGCAGCAGACACATCCATGACCCCCGCTCCCCAGAGGAGGGACCGAGGACCAGGTTACAGGCTCCTCCTGGTCAGAAGGAGGCAGAGCTGGGATTCAGCGCTCACGCCATTGGCTGCCCCTCTGCCTTTCAGCATTGAGTCACTTGTGTTCTGTCTGACCTCCTTAGAATATCGCTTTTTTAGAGCAGATTCATATTAATAATTGTGGCCCCGGGCCCAGCCAGTAGGTGCAGACTTTGTTGGATGGATGGTGGATGGATGGGTGGGTGGATGGATGGATGGATGGGTGGATGGATGGATGGGTGGATGGTGGATGGGGGATGGATGGATGGATGGGTGGATGGATGGATGGGTGGATGGTGGATGGGGGATGGATGGATGGATGGGTGGATGGATGGATGGGTGGATGGTGGATGGGGGATGGATGGATGGATGGGTGGATGGATGGATGGGTGGATGGTGGATGGGGGATGGATGGATGGATGGGTGGATGGATGGATGGGTGGATGGTGGATGGGGGATGGATGGATGGATGGGTGGATGGATGGATGGGTGGATGGTGGATGGGGGATGGATGGATGGATGGGTGGATGGATGGATGGGTGGATGGTGGATGGGGGATGGATGGATGGATGGGTGGATGGATGGATGGGTGGATGGTGGATGGGGGATGGATGGATGGATGGGTGGATGGATGGATGGGTGGATGGTGGATGGGGGATGGATGGATGGATGGGTGGATGGATGGATGGGTGGATGGTGGATGGGGGATGGATGGATGGATGGGTGGATGGATGGATGGGTGGATGGTGGATGGGGGATGGATGGATGGATGGGTGGATGGATGGATGGGTGGATGGTGGATGGGGGATGGATGGATGGATGGGTGGATGGATGGATGGGTGGATGGTGGATGGGGGATGGATGGATGGATGGGTGGATGGATGGATGGGTGGATGGTGGATGGGGGATGGATGGATGGATGGGTGGATGGATGGATGGGTGGATGGTGGATGGGGGATGGATGGATGGATGGGTGGATGGATGGATGGGTGGATGGTGGATGGGGGATGGATGGATGGATGGGTGGATGGATGGATGGGTGGATGGTGGATGGGGGATGGATGGATGGATGGGTGGATGGATGGATGGGTGGATGGTGGATGGGGGATGGATGGATGGATGGGTGGATGGATGGATGGGTGGATGGTGGATGGGGGATGGATGGATGGATGGGTGGATGGATGGATGGGTGGATGGTGGATGGGGGATGGATGGATGGATGGGTGGATGGATGGATGGGTGGATGGTGGATGGAGGACTGTAGTTCTTTGAGAACAGGCAGTTTCTCTGTGACCCTGGGCCTGGAAGAGGGCTGAGCCGTCTTTGCTGCATGTTGAGGAACCTGTGGAGTGAACCCATATCTGGACCCCCAATGACACCCTGTCTTTGGGGTCCCCAGGGGAAGCCTGTGCAGAGGTCCCAGGAGGCCCCGTGTCTGGCTTTGCCCTGCTGTTGCCGGGTGCGTGGCTCCCTCGGGGCCTGCCCTGCAGGAGGGAGCTGGCCCGTTTGCTGTAATATCTGAAACATACAAAAACATAATACAAACACTTAAAAATAGAATCTGAAGTATACTCATAGCTATTGGGTTATTTTTTATAATTATGCAAGCAGATTGGTATCCAGATTAACTTTACCATCCCCTCACCTCCCTTCCAACACTATCACTCACACAGAGAAAGAAGGGGGGAAAAAAAAGGAAAGGCCCTGCAGCCGCTTGTCTGGACTCTGGCTGCCGCCTCGCCCTCTAAGGGAGACACAGGCTTCCTGCTCTGGCCGGCTCCCGGGCCACAAGTTCACCCTCGTTCTTCAGACGGAGAAAGGGAA